GGTACACAGACATGTATTAACACACATCAAGGGCAATACATTGCATGAATGAGGGAAAAAACCCCAGTATTTTTCTAAGAGATAGGCTTTCAAGCTCTATAATAACCACAATCAAGATGTTCACAGTTAAATTTCCTTGGAAAGACGTTTCTTTTATATCCCATATTTCAACAACCAGGTAATATTGTTCATTCTAATTGCTTTCATTTCTTTGGGGCTGGAAACAAAATTTTAGCTTCACAGAAAATGATAAAGTTGGAAGAATTTTGGAATGGATGATAGTTTATTTTTCAAGTGCCAAATGAACATTTTGAAGTATAGCATTTTTGGCCACAGGCTTTGTCCACTGACACCAAAACATTCCAAGAAATGACATTTCAGATAAACAGTTTCACGTCCAGTAAGCCACAAACACAAAAAAAGTATTCAATTGCACTTCACAGCAAATAGCCTTCTGTTGACAGTTCTTCAGAAATGACCAATTATATTTACAAAGTACAAATATCTCATTTGATTAATTCAATATAATTTAAGCCGATGGTTTGAGCAAAAGAATGAATCCATAGGAGTTGTTAAAGAGTAGGGTGAAGGAGAAGATAACCAGAAGGATGAATTTTATAAAAGATTCTGAAATATCAGAGAGCCCCACTGGGCCAACACTTCAAATTAACAAGCCACTGAGGGACTCTGACATGCATGCCGTATGACATATCATCCAAGAAATAGCATCCAAGAGGAGTTTCATTTTTCTTGGAAAAAGAGATTGCCACAGAGCTTTCATATATCACCAATTAAACAGTTTGGGCACCATGTAATTAAGTAATATAATTATGAACCCATTTCTTGGCCTCAAGCCCAAGGCCCTATTTCTTGTTCAGGTACATCAGTGGCTTTTATTCAGATCTCCTTTGTCATATGTTGGACCCAGCTCCTCATATTAAAAAACATAATGCCAAGAATGTAACTCAGTGCTCAAGCACTTGCCTAGTGTGCCCAAGGCCCTGGGTTCAATCCCCAGCACTGCAAAAAGAATCTAAAAATATAAAGAAATCCACAGTCAATTTTAAAATTAAAAAGTAAGACACAATGGATGTGATTGCAGGAAGGAAATCCAAAGTAGATACAGGCACTTAACATCAGCAGAACGCAAATACAGGAAGCAACCAGGAGATATTTAAGACTCCAGAAAATTTAGTATGAAAGTAGAAAAAGTAGAAGGATCATTATTCCATCGTATAAGAGACAGTATATAAGAGACACTTTCCTTTTACAGGAAAGAATATTTAAAGAGACCACAGCAGCTGGTCCTAGAGTTACATTACTATAATTAACATATTAAGTTAAGAGGCAAACTAATCACTAATGTGGGTGTTGGTAAAAAAAATTACCATCCTCTCTTATATTAAAATGATTCTTTCAGAGTCATGCTTATTAAATTACAAAAGTTACTATTTATTGAGAATTTGGATTGGATCAGGCCCTGTTCTACACATAGTATGCAAACAGTTCATTTAGTTTCCAAAGCAACCCTATGGAAAGGAATTACTGCTATTCCCATTTCCTAGGTAAGGAAACTGAGGCCCAAGGGGCAAAGTAATTTGCCCAAGGACACACAACCAGGAAGCTGGAGAGCTGAGCAATGAGCCCAAGCAGCCTGCTTCCAGAGTGCCTGTGTTTTTTAGAACAGTGTACGATGCTGCCTCTTAACACTTACTCAAAAGAAATATTACTATTAGTGGAGTTATAGTCATATATTTACGTGCCTTTCAAAAAGCAGAGATGTTATAGCTCTGAATGGAAAGGAGTGATCAATAGCCATCAAAAGCAAGTGAAGTCAGTGTGCTTTCAGAACTGTAGGAAAGACACTTCACCTTTGCATGCTGTTTGACATTTATCCATGCAATTGAATTGAACTCAATTAACAGTAATTTAGGGTTCCATACTGAGCATCAGAGCATGGAGATTCAGAGCTTCAAGAAGGCAAAATTTTATTTCAGCTTAGAGAAAATAAAATACTTCAAAAGTTAAAAATTGAATAGAGATGAGTAAAATGAAGTCCAAAGAGTTTAAATGACCAACCTGAGAGCAAAAATGTTATCTGTAGCACAGAGGAATCTAAAATCAAATTCAGAAGTGTCTAGTTTCTCTTTTACGCAGCCGCTTTTCTTTCGATCAAGCTGGTTGAATGCACTGGAATAAAATTAATTTCCAGAATACCGATCTGTGCTCTCTGCAGAGGAAAAATGTGTGGCTCTTGCCTCTTTTACCTTAGAACCTACTTCATTCTGGAATGATGTAAGCGAAGAAAGAACAGAGAGCCAAGGGAACCTTTTTAAGAGAAAGAAAAGAGGAGAAAATTCAATCTCCCAGATCTTCTCTGAAGGAATGTGGGTTTTTTGGTTTTTATTTTGCTGGACAATTTCTCTTTGAAACCTTATCCAATCCTAAGAATAGATTTTGAAGCTATATCTACGTTAATAACCTATGTACGCAGTGAGATTAAAACATGCAATAAATGTTAAAATTTTAAAATAGTCATTAATCCCCTTCAAAATACTCCCCCTCTGTGTACACACTTATCTCATCACTCTTGACACTTTTTTCCTTTTTTTTTTTCCCCGCAGTACCAGGGATTGAACTCAGGACCTTGCTCTCTTGCGAGGCAGGGGTGGGCGGTGCCACTGAGCTAAATCACCGGCCCTCTTGACACTTTCTGAAGCAGCTCTGGAGTCCCCTCTTGGGAGTATCTTTAGTTGCACTGTCATGGCTGCTTTGATGTCCTGAATTGATTCAAAATATTTACCTTTCACGGTCCTTTTGACTTTGGGAAAGAGCCAGTCATCTCATGCCAGATACACTACTAAGATGAATGAAAGACACACTGTAATCTTTTCATGAACTTGCCTTTCTTTTTTTTTAAGAGTAGGAAAATTTATTGAGAGAGAGAGAAAGCTTCTGTCTAACAGAGACAGAAGGGGGACCGGAAAGTGGGTTGCCTGCTCATCCAACTTCTCAAAGGTGTTTTATGGGACAAAGCCATGAGGTGAGGCCGGTTCAAGGTGCGACAAAACCGTAGTCAACTAGTAAGATTACAAGTACAGTTGCTTAGGTAATATTGATCCAATGAGAAATTACAAGGTGGACAAAACTATGAGCAACCAATAAGATTATGACAAGTATAGTTCCTTAGGTAATATTAAATGGGGATCTGATGGGGAAACAAGTCACATAGCAAATGTACAAGGAATGAGCAAGGATTTTTGGTGGAAAAGGGTGGGTCAGGGATCTTTCTTGGAAGATCTTTGTCCCCCACCCAGGTGATTGATACCTATTTAGAATATCAATCACTGCTATTCATCCTTAGGGGAATGAACCTTCCTTTCTGTTGCATGGCACTCAGCAGCTGCATTCAACATATTTTCAATCACACGTTCTAAAGACATGAAAGCAGACTTCCGTAACCGCTTTGGAAAGTGGCAAGAATGATGGGATAAGTGTGTTCAAAGGGAGGGGGATTAATGAAAAAGTGTGTTTTACTGTAATACATTCTTAATTTAAACATACACTGCCATCATGTGACCAGCCCTTATACGTGTGTAGCTGAATGAGTAGTTCTCCAACTGTATTTTGAGTGTTTGAAGAACAGAGGAGATTCTCAAAAACTCTCTGAGTGCCCAGCTTTATGAAGGGCTTTATAAAGTTAAGTAGGTGCCCAGCGAATCATATCTTTTTTGTTATATATGGTTATGATGACAAAAGTGTAAGAATGTGCAATGTAAGATTTCCAGTCAGTTTTTTTAATGACAGTATATTCAAGTTATCTAGAAATTGTATTCAAACTAGTGCAACTATCCCTGGCACCCCCACCTAAGGTCATTTAGCAATGCCAGGTGACATTTTGGTTATCTCAACTTGAGGAGGTTAGGTACTACAGTCTTCTAGTGGATAAAGGTCAGGGATGCTATGGAATATTCTACCATACTTAGGACACACACCACAACAAAGAATTGTCTCATCCTGAGTGTCATAATGTCAAATTTGAGACACATTAGCTTATTTAGAAGTTAAAAAAGACTGCTGTTCTATTTCTCCATTTTAAAACACAAGATATAAATAAATACAGTATACCAAAGATTCATCCAAAACCATCTACTGTAAAGAGGAAACAACTTTCAATAGAACAAGAAGGTTCACGAAAAGTGATAGGAAAAGCATGAATTTAGACCTGTATATACTAAAATAAGCAATGGAATGCTCTGATCTATAGTTCATCTGAAACTGGTTATTTCACAGTAATGGTTCAAGACAGTTTGCTGAGGAGGCACTTTACATCACCACTGGTCTGATACAGGCTCTTGCTTCAATTATTTCATTATTTCTAACCACATTCAAATTCACCATTTTGACCAGCACACAAAGAGGAAATGTATATGTTTTGTTTGCAAATATGATCCGCAAAATAAGCTGCTTTTGTTATTAGCCATTTTTGTTTTATGTGTGTAATTTTACCCACATCTAGGTTTAATTGAACGTTTCAGTGCCTGGATTCCTCTTGTCACCATATGGGAATCATTCTTCCACTTCTAAGTCACTCTTTTTAATTTCTATCATGGAAAAATGAGAGGTGTTTTCCTTTATCCTGATAGCTTCCTGGTGTATTGAAGTGAATGAGGAAAAGAAAGTAGGGGGACATGTTGGTTTTTCCTTGCATTTGGTCATGGTTTCCTCACATAGTCTGTAGCTGATGCAGTTATACTTGCTTCAGTTTTATTTGCTTGTTCATTTTCCCCAGTGGCTGATAATAATATCTGATACTTTGGATGTCTGCAGTGCATTTGAACAAAAATTTCTTTCTTCAAGGGATAAATAAGTTCTTTTCTAGAAATCAACTGACAAAACACATATAAACCTCAGGAGGATTTTGTGAATGTTGTATATTGAGTTAAGCATGTCACTGCTAAGATCCTCACACCTTGGTGAATGATTTTCTAAATATTTACCAAGATCTTTAATAAGTGAGAGTGCTTCCCATGATATAAAGGCTCCACCACCATCATCCATGGCACCCTGCCCGACGTCCCAGCTGTCCAGATGTCCACTCACCAGCACAACCTAGGACAAACAATACAAAGCAGGAAAAAGTAAGCAAAGATGACATTGAAGAGGAGGAATTCACAGGCATTCCAAATACAAAAATGAAACTTTTACAGTTTCTGTTCTATTTTTAAGTCTTAAAGGAAATAGGCAATCACTAGTGAAAAACGTGATATAGAGGGATTATATAAGGAGACTAAGGCTCTTATTTTTTTTAAATTTATTTTTAAAATTAATTTGATTGGTACATTTTAGGTATACAATATAATGATATTCATCATTGGAAATTTGGGCCTTTACATAATCTCTCTTGGTTCTTATTTTTTCCCCATTCCCCTGCTCTCCCTTCAACCCCTTGATCCCTCCCTATTTACAAAGACTTTGTTTCCATTTTTTCATTTCCTCATATTAATCCCATTCCCTTCTATCCTTTCCCCTACCCCTCCCACTTCCCCTTCCCCTTTGCCCCTTTTCTTCCTATTTCACAT